TTTAAGAATAGAAATTTCCGCATTGACGCTAAGTTGCCGTTATTTGGTCTACCAAATAGTTTGAACGACAAGCTGTAATTGTTATTAGAATGCAGGATCACTAACTGCATTCTAATGATTTTGAATAACGATCCCCCGAAATTTGTTGCTTTTATTCAACAAACCCGCGTACGGAGATATCTCCAAACTCATGTGCACATAAAGTTTATCGACAAGTAGGGAGTCAATGCCTCAAAATTTGCAAGTAAAAATTTGATGCACATTGGTATGTTGATTAAACACCAAATATTGGGGGTTTCGGAAAATAATCTCAAGGATTTTAAAGATTTGATCGGACGTGAGAGCTTACAATGTATGTGCTCTGTCTGTCTCCTACTCGGCTCTATTAGAGGATCTAATGGAAAAAGTAAAGCAAAACGGAGATGAAAAACAAGTGTTACGGAGTTGAAAAACATTTTTCGAACATATTCCAGACAACCTAAAACCTGCTTGCAAGAAGAAAAAACGAGCATCAAATGCAATCTGTACAGACTAATATTACGCTCAATAAAACAAAAACAGTTTAGCAAAATGACCTAACAATTGTTCTACATGCGTCCTGCCATTCGCGAGCGAAAAATTGAAAGACAGCGGAAAAATTTTTTCGAGCAGAGCAGCGAGAAGGTGAGCTGTGCCTAATTCATTAGCTACTCAAGATAAAGACTTTAGCAGCTCTGATCCATTTTCCTCCGGAATAGGTGTTACTTGCGGGAAAAATGTTGAAAGCGTAAACGCCAAACAAAAATGAATAGAAAGGAGAAATTTGTCGCCATCATTAAGGTATTGGCGCCATATCTCTTATGGGATTTCAAAAAGAGGTCAGGTTAAAACGACGTGCATGTATAAGTAGAGCTTAGGCATAGTCTTGTATACACGGCGGTCATCCGACTTCCGTTTTATTTCTGGTTAAGGTGAGTGCTTCTCTTGAAATGCTGTTTATGGGCTTTCATATCTACGAGGCCCCTTTCTAAGAAGTGTTATCAGCTATTCTCATAGCTGCTTATTTAATAGCAAAAATATGGGCCCATAAAAGATAGATTCGAAAATTTTTCACGTGCTAAGTAGAACTAATGTTTTCCTTGTGAGAAACGACGATTCTAAAAATGTTATCCAACAATATCAAACCAGAACCATGTGTTGATGGAAACTTTGCATCTCTTGCTTACAAGGGAAGGATACTCGGTCGAAGTGACCATTTGGAATGAGCTGTATATTAGGAAACCGTCCTCCGTAAGGCAAACTCAAAGCTACTTTTGCTAGGTGCCGAGCGGTTTTGTGGGGGGAGTTACAAGGCCATTTTCCTCCGGCGCAGCCAGCGCAGCCAGTGATGAGCGAGGCGCTAGAATAGCGCTGCAGTGTGGCAGTGGCGCAGTGGCAACGCAGCTGACTACGAAGCAGCTGGTCGAGGGTTCGGGCCATGTTGCTGCTATTTTGTTTTGCAGTTCTGTAAAAAGTCTACTGGGTGAGAGTAAACGAAAAATACTCATTTCTAGGCAGTTGAAACAAGCTATTTACTGCAAAAAAGTCACTATTTCTACAATAAGCCATAATCTTCGACAATATGTAAATTTGTGGAGGTTATGATGTCACAACAATGGATTCAAATGATAAATTAACATGTGCGGAATACAACCACAAAATGCTCAAAGCAGAAGAGCTTCTCGCAGCGCGCACACTTGCAAAATTGCAATCGATTCACATCCCATGTATTGGCTCTCGATCTGAACTATACCTTGCATCATAGGGATTCCATCCTTAAGAATGGCTCATTTACACCAGTTTTGCTCGCCGCGATTCAAAATTTTCCTTTCATACCCATGGCATGCAGCCGGATACATTGACAACCACCCCAGCGAATTCGAGTCTCCTATTGAGTACTGTTTCACCGACTTTGATAGGCAATTGTGAAGCTGCTGATTGTCATCGTTTATATTTCATCCGATGTGCGCGCTGCGAGAGCTCTTCTGATTTGAGCATTTTGTGGTTGTATTCCGTACATGTTAACTTATCATTTGAATCCATTGTTGTGACATCATAACCTCCACAGATTTACATATTGTCGAAGATTATGGCTTATTGTAGAAATAGTGACTTTTTTGCAGTAAATAGCTTGTTTCAACTGCCTAGAAATGAGTATTTTTCGTTTACTCTCACCCAGTAGACTTTTTACAGAACTGCAAAACAAAATAGCAGCAACAGGACCCGACCCCTCGACCAGCTGCTTCGTAGTCAGCTGCGTTGCCACTGCGCCACTGCCACACTGCAGCGCTATTCTAGCGCCTCGCTCATCACTGGCTGCGCTGGCTGCGCCGGAGGAAAATGGCCTTGTAACTCCCCCCACAAAACCGCTCGGCACTTAGCAAAAGTAGTTTTGAGTTTGCCTTACGGAGGACGGTTTCTAATATACAGCTCATTCCAAATGGCCACTTCGACCGAGTATCCTTCCCTTGTTAGATGCAACCTTAGTTTTGTTTTTTATTTCGTGTACATCTCTTTCTGAAAGCGTCTGCGCATTTTTTGCTGGGAATATGTCCAATCTTCTTAATGATACTACTAATTCTTTGTGGGTACCTGTACTTTATGCAACATTTGAAAGCTCTCTCTCGGTTGATCTTTTGTTCAAAATTGTTCCTCCAGGATTTTTTCCCTTTCTAATCCCCTCAGTTATCATATTACTTCTCGCTTTGTCAACCGTAATGTCGTCTTGGAGCAGTAGAGAATCAGATCAAAAACAGCAAGCACAAGTAATCACGCAGTAAGATTTGACCGTCGTCAGTTTCTCCTTCGACTTTGCTACTTCTCTTTTGATTTTGAAGCTTCTTCTCCTTGTCATGAGAGGAACAAATTAGGCATACTTGAGATTGGCAGCTTTTGACAAGGGAGGTACTCAACTTGCTGTTGCTATATTAGGCTTTTGGTCCTTCTAAACTGCTACTGTATTAAACAAGCGAAGACTCCAGAACTCAGGTACGGTCGAGTTTTGAGCGTGATTAACCGGTGAGGTGACTCAAAATTCCTTGCCTGATATGTCTATTGACTATTCATTAACGAAATATACAACAAAAAGAAGCAGTGTTCTTCGTTAGAGAAATGAATTTTCCATCTAGATTGCACGGTAACCAAAAAGCAAATATGTACATTAAAATACGATGCAACCTTTTTTGGCATGCGCTCAGGACCGATCTTCAGTATCCCTAAGTGGAACACAACCTGTACTTTGAGAAGCAGCTTACGAGAGTATAGTCAACTTTCTATAATAGGCAGTAGTAATCATTAAGAGTAGTAATCACGCGCAGTAATCAGCAAAGAGCTTGATTGGATCAACTTAAAATGACTTACTTTGTTTTTGCGTAAAGATATCATTGACATCACCAAAGAGTCTTCTCTTTCGGTTGTGTTCAGTTACACAGGAGCCCTTCCAACCCGTGATGGCTCCGTACTAGTCATAACTGAACATCGATGTATCGATAGCGTTCCATATGCGTTCGGAAAGGCGGGCACTTGGGCAACTTTGGAAGCTGTCTTTGACTATGCGCTACGAACTCTAGCCATAAGAATAGCTATCCGAATTCAGAACGAATTGCAGGTTGGACACTCCAGAGTAGCTAAGAGGCCATGCCAACTAAATGCTTACCGTATAAACTTACAGGCATTTCTCCGGCTTAATTAACACTCTTAAAATTGGTGGTATAGGCTGCAGAACTGAATAGTTCCTCCACCTTTCCCCTTTTCCATGCATAAAAAGTCACTTCAGACATTTGCGAATGTAACGTAAACCCTTTTCGCATTCACTGCAATGCACTTCACTACAGGAAAGTGAACGATACCTGACAGCCGAAAAATGCCTCTACCTTTGTTTGAAGACGTTAAGAAGATACGTTCTCTTATCTAGCATTCTAGGCTTTTTGAACAGATATATTAGGCTGTTTCATAAGTTCGTAGCGCTTTCATTTCCGTCCTCATATCTTTGAGGAGCGATTGATTTGCGGCAAGGCGCGTATATCATTTGGAAGGGCTGGTTGTGCTCTTAGAAACCTGTCTACTAATTCCGGTGGAAGGCTGATTCACTCTCGGATCTCGCAGCTTCCAAAGATGGAAATCTTGGAAGGCAAAATGAGCACATTCGGCGTTCGCAATTGTCCTTAGGAAAAAAGCGCCTTTGCACAGATTTTTGTGTTGATTATGGAACATGGGGCTCGCACATCGATATGAGACAAGAAATGATTGGATTGTTACAAAACATCAGAGGCTGAGCAGGGTGTCCCTGAACAAGACTTTGGGGGACGGGCAGGACGTCCTGCACTGAAAATTGCTACAGGTAGGCGATGGTTAACCATACCGTAAGCGATCCCACTGCACAGTCTGAACCAGGTCTTACCGCAGAAAAAGCTTAACAGACAGATCCAGTGAGTTTTTCTGCATGACGAAACATGGCGTCATACGACAAACGTCGTCAAAACTGTCCTCCACGGTTTGACTGGAAGATACTTTAGTACCCAAAGTACTCTCCAAATTTCGCTCTATCAGATTATCACTTGCTCCGCTCTCTGGCAAACCTCATGAATGGTGCATGTCTCGATTTTAGTAAGCAATTTGAGCGCTGGTTCTTGAGACCCGGCGCGCTCCCGTTTGGAAAAGTGAGGTTGCGAAGCTGACCAGAATGTGCAAAAAGGTCGTGTGCTACAACGAGGAATATAATTTTGATCGTTTTTATTGTAAATTGGTGATTGGTTGGTTTAAATTTGTTAAATTTATAAGAACGCTACGAACTTATGGAACAACCTAATACATCTCGTAGACAAAGGCTACTTCGGTCAAATGCGTTCTATAGGTGACTTTTAGATGTATTTTGATTCGTTGTTTGTCGGTGTAAAAATAATCTTGAAGTTTTTAATAGCCAGAATTGGATAGCATTACCGTAAACCATTTCGCAAGAACCCGCCGTAAGTGTCGAGTGTAAAGAAAGATCAGAAGCAAATATAAGGTGTTTATTGAAAAACTGTAATAGATGGCTCCTTCAATAGTACTGCAAGTATGTCCCGCAAGTGTTGATACAGTCGTTGAGAGCCTCAAAATTATTAGCATTTCCATTACAACCGCTGTAGAGGAACTGAACGCAATAGCCATCTCGGTATCCCCAACTGCAATAAAGAAGACAGAGTATTTGTGAAGATTGAAAAAAGAACTTGCCGATATTGGAAATTAGAACAGTTTCCGGCTTTGAGAGGAAGCTTGCATGGATCTTCTGAAAATAGAGGCTGATTCGAATATAGCTCGAATTCGAATTCTTTAGACAAAGACTTGTCGGATCATGGGCTGCGCAAGCGTGCGGGGGATCTCAATGCTAGAGAGGGCAAGTTGGTTTATGTTTTCCGCGATTTTGATATCGTCAAACTCCGGACACCACGCGACTTGCCTAGGCGCTCTTTGGCGCCCTCCGCCACTCGTCGCAACGGGTTTAATGGCAGAAGTTCTGCGGTAGGGCTGGAGCAACGCTGTGGTGCCTCTCCCCCACTTGCCATGTCCCCGGTAATTTCCTTTCAGTATACCCCGGGTGCGCTCAGCGCACACTAGGACAGAATTCAACAAACAGAAACTACCCCTCGGTATAACGTGTCTGATCGAAATGATATAATTTATGCTCAATCAAATTTTGCTAGTTGCATGATTTTATCAAGGCACGCTCAATCTGCAATAAACTGCCCGAATTACATAGAACACTTTCTTTTGACCCATCTATCCTCTTCATAACGGAATCAAACCAGATTCTATACATGATGCTAACATATACCGAGGTTTTGATTATGATATATACAGATGTGACAGAGAGGGCAGCAATATAGGAGGCGGTGTCGCGGCTCGCGCGATGCAAGCCACTCCTCGATACAGGTTGGCCGGGAGCGCTGTAAGCCGCCGTCACCGGGCGCGCTACGTTTTCGCGCTCGGACCTCTCCCCGCTGGGCGCGTTGCCAAGTCGAAGGGTATTCAAGGCCGCGCAAAGAGCGGCATGCGCCTCTCTTCGATTCGTTTTCTTCTATTGATTGATTTCTCATGTGCTTTGGCAACTCGGTCAGTAAGCTCCCGCGTAAGATCTCTTCGTGTTTGTGGTTGAGCAGCATAGGATTGTTTTGATATACGCGCAGTCGCGCAATGGGTTCGTCTTTCTGAAGTAGTTGGAATTCAACACCGGGAGTGGAGAGGTCGTACCGTTCCGTAAGGACCAGGCGTTAAGCGGTCAACCCTGACGGCGAACCCTGAATTCTTTACATGGAGATTAAGCCAAGAAGATCATCGGCGGACCGGGACGAGGCGGGCTCGCCCCGTACATTCTTCCTTCCTTAGTAGTTTAGTGTTTCGTAGCTTAGTTTAGTAGATTAGGCTTCTTTTCTATTAGTGTGTTTTATCTGTAGATAAATTTACTTAATCTAGTCGTGCGTCTTCTGTGATCCGGAGTTTGTGATATTGTGGATAGTTCGCGATACGGTCGCGCAGGTTTGGCCAGCTTGTGTGAGCGTCGTAACATCTACGGCAACTGGGATTGGGTTGCAGGGCAGCGAGCACGGCGAGGGGGTGCTGAGCCCACCGAGCCGCAACAGGCGGTGTTCTTGCCCTCATACACAGAGGGCTAGAGCATCACTTAATCTCCAGTCAGAACTTCTCCCCATATTGCCAAGTTCTATGTTTTTGTGTTAATGATGCAACCAGCTGCACTTATTTTGTATTGATTTATCGAAGTCCCTCTTGTGACAGTACTTCCTTTGCAAACGCAGTATCTTATTTCGCCGAAATTCTTGACAGAAATCAAAACTGCATCATTCTGGAAGATTTTAATTTTTCGGTTGGCTCATGGCAGGAGGATGGTAGAATGGCGCATCACTGGGTTCCCTCCGCTTCCGCAGAGCTACTTCGAGTTGTGGAAGTATACGGTCTACATCAACTAGTAAAGGTTCCCACTAGAGGCTCTCGACTGCTTGATCTTGTGTTTTCCAATAATAGTAACTTGATTAAATACCTTACTGTATGCGAGCCCTTCCCTACATCGGACCACTGCTCTATTACATTTGAGCTGCGCAAGTATGTAGATTAGTATCGCCTGAGAAATATCAGCCCGATTTCATGCATGCTGATTATGACGCTATAAACATGAGCCTATTAGAAGCGGATTGGCGAAGTATCGTATTTAGCGCATTGTCGGCAGATAGTTGTTATGAACACTTTCTTGAAGTGTGCCGTAATGCTATTAACAATTTTGTCCCTCTGCGTAAAATCTGCCGTGGCCACACGCTCTTCTGTCTCAAAAGGATACTTAAGCTTGAGGCCAAGGTCTCCAGGCTTTACCGTGCAAGAAGCAGAATTGGTATCCAAAAATATCAAAGGTTCTCAAAAAAAAACTCAAACGTGAATTATACCGCTGCAGAATTATAGAAGAAGGCAAAATTGCCAACAGCCGAAATGTACGAGCGTTCTTTCGCTTCTGCAATCAAAATTTGAGGGTGTCAAATAGCATTGGCACTATATACGACTCAACCGGGCAGCCCTGCGCATCTGATATGGAGAAAGCTGAGATATTTGCCGAATTTTTCAAATCCGTCTATAAGGACACAGCCTCGAGTGCTGATTGTCCACGTTTTACAAATGCGAAGATTGATTATTTGGATATCACCACTGATACAGTATATCAAGGAGGCGACTCCCCCTTAGAAGGTCCACAACCCCTGATAAACTCCCATATATTTTTCTCAGGAAAGCATCATTAGGTATAGCTCCAGTACTAGCTTTACTGTTTCGAAGATTTCTTCTTCGTGGTGAAGCCCCTGCCTTATGGCGCACTGCAATTGTTAAGCCAATTTTCAAAAAGGGCTGCAAGGCTGAGGCCGGAAATTATAGCCTGATCTGTTCAACATCATCAGTGAGCAAAGTATTTAAAAGAATTATTTGTAAACAGATTTGCGCATTTCTTACTAGCAACCATCTTGTGCACAAAGCACAACATGGATTTCTACCCAAAAGATATACATTATCAGCTTTAATGTCAACGGTACCCTTGTGGCAAAGAGCAGTTAATGAAAAAAGTGTTGTTACAGTCTGCTATACAGATTATAAGAAAGCCTTTGACTCCGTGCCCTTAGCTCTTCTCTTTACAAAATTAGAGGCTTACGGCATTAAAGGCTGTTTATTGCGATTCCTCAAAGCATTCCTGCTCCAGCGCAGGCAAAGAGTGCGGGTCAATGAATCGTTTTCTTCAATCCAACAGCAAGTGGTGTGCCGCAGGGTACTTGCTTGGAGCCTTAGATGTTTTTGCTTTACATCAACGATCTGCCGTCATGCATTCCCCATGATGTACACTGCTCTATATATGCTGATGACACAAAACTCTACTGCTGCGACGACTCTAGTCTGATGCAGCGCGCCTTGGATGCGGTAGAGAAGTGGTCCGACAAATGGGAGCTTGACATTTCTGCGAAAAAACCTTTATCATGGCCATTGGACGTGCACATCCCCAGTGTTCCTTTCGTATTGGGACGCATGAGCTTCAAACAGTTAGCAGCGCCAGGGACCTTGGTGTGACCTACTCTGACAAACTAAAGTTTGAGAAATACATACGAGATGTTGCCGTTGCCGCTCACGCCAGGTGCAATTACATCCTTCGTATGTTCAAAACTACTAATGTAAAAATTCTCTTTCGCCTTTTCGTCATCTATGTTCGCCCTCTTTTGGAATATTGCACTCCACTACTCCACTATGGTCTCCCTCTGAGAAAACCCTTACGGAAATTATTGAAATAGTCCAGAGATCGTTCACTGCCAGAATTTTTGCCCGAGCTGGAATATTCCGATTGTCATACAAATCTAGGCTCTCTATTCTAGCCACCACTACTCTTGCGTTTAGAGGAACCCTTTATGACCAAATCTTGTCTACAAAATAATGGCCAACAGGATTGAATTGGAAACGCAAGATTTTTTCAGTCTATCGAATTTCAACGATTACACTAGAGGACACATGTTCAGGCTTGTAGTAGGGAAAGTGAGACCAGCAATACTATAACTTTTTCCTAGGGCGTGTTATCAAAACGTGGAATGTGCTCCCAATGGAAGCTATCACCGCGAGATCTACATTCGTTTTCAAAAGAGATGTTCGAAATTTTTGAAATCACAGGGGTTATTCTGACTATTTTTCAGGAAATTTTTTGAAATTTCGACGTTCCTTTCTCCGCAACTAATTCTAACTGATGGTTTGGTCTCCCAGAAGGCGAAATTCTTCGTTATGCTCGATGTTTTCTATTTTTTGTTCCCCGAATCAAGAAAAAAAACCTATCTACCTCCAGTGATTCTCTACCATTTCGTATAGCAACTCTCTCGAATTATCCTTTTTCTTTGCTACAGTGTTCTTCTTGTGGTTACTTCGGTCTTTTTTTCTTGGTGATCATTCCCCTCTCCCGAGGGTTTTATTGTATACTTTTTCCTTTTTTCATGTCTTATTGTCCTTTCGAAAACCTCTAAAACCTCTATTTTTCTCTCGGGGTTATGGCCAGCTGGCCTTTGCAGGCGGGCTCGCTGGCCCCCCTAAACAGGGGGTATTGTTTTCGGAAGACGCATAAGATTTTGGTAGACCGCTGAAATTATTGATCCTCGTCGTCTAGAGTCATTTGGATGTCGACTTTAGTTAAATAAACAAATAAATAAATAAGACAGTCTTATTAAGAAAGTCAGGCTACTGATGAAGCTAATGTTTACACGAAGTAGAAAATTCTATTAGGTTGATGCAAAAGTAATGCGCTTTTGCAAGTTGTCAATTTGATTTGCTATAACTTTTTGAAAAATCTCTTTTATCCAATGCGAAAAAGACTATCAGAGGCAGTAAACCTTTTGCAATGCAGTGCACATCCGCTCATACTCATATCACAAACCGGGGATAAATATAAATTGATAAGCAAAAAAGTCTTTCTCCAAACCTTTTTGATTGATCATAACTCCCTTCAGAACTTGTTAGTATAAATGATAAGTAGCCTATCTTGTACCCGCAAGCCAATTGTACGAAAATGATGTAAAGGCTCAAACAAACCCATTTGCATAAAGAAAAAAATAAAATCCACAATTGTTCGCATTTTTCAACATTTTTCGTAGGCCTAAAGTCCCAAAATGTGGAGTTTTCGATTTCCTGCGTACTGAATAGCTAAACGTTTTTACGAAAACTGTTAACAGGAGGCCCACCCTTGCCGTTACAGAAATGAGCAAAGCTCTGGAGATTGCCTTCTTCAAAAAATTTATGAGCTGACCAAAACGATCTACAGTCTGCCCCAATTCCAATCAGGCCAAAATTGGCATGGCGGGAGTTCGCGTCGCAAGGATTATACCCACGTCTACGCCCTGCTTGCCTGCTCTCACTCCTATCTCTTCACTCTCTCCGACAGTGCGCGTATGCAGCGCAAAGTAGTGGCGCTGCGAGCGCGCAAATCTAGCCAACGGTTCGGCCTGAACCCACTTGGTGCAGACTGTATGATGATGCGCCGAAATCTCAATCTAGCTAATTTCTAAGAGAATAGTGAAGTACGCATAATGTAGATAATTCAATTACATACAATGGCTGATTGTTTAATAAAATGCCTTTATTCGTGTTCGAATTCTGGCAGAAAAAATAAATGTAATGAGATTCTAGTTTCGAGTGCGGTTGTGTGAAGCCTATATAATTGTAACAAGTGAGGCTAGAATTTTCGACCACCATCGGATAGAGCATGAAAATAGATTTTTGATAGTACGCTAGTTTTTTGCAATGGAGAAACTTTGATGGAGAAAAGCTGTCCTAAAACAAGGGCTAGAAAAACGCCATTAGTTGTGCACCAACCCAATGGTTCGAGCGCTCCCAAAATTCTGCCGCCAAACCATAGACAAAGTTGTTTCTATTTCATGGTTGTTTACTTTTTACATGGCGTGCTCACCAGATCCTTCTCCTCCCAAGCACATCTGCTCGCATTCATTTTTCCTCAAAAAGTTGTTGTCATTTCCTTGACATCCACCATAAGCGAACAATATGCATTTTCCCGACGTTGCGTCATAAGCATAGCTAAAAAACTATAAGTTCTTTGATCCAAAATGTCTGCAGCGTACCGTCTGTATGAGCCTCGGCATGGACCTGGTTCTATGGGCTGTGAGCAGATGTCTGAAAAGTTCCATACAAAGTAGTCAAAGGTCAACATCGTCGTTTTGGTCAATCATCAAAATTTCACATTTACAAATAAGCTCTTAAAGCGATCAAGTTATCAGTATTTTGGAACATAACGAAAGGCACGGCTTGATTTAAATTTCACAACAGGCAGGAATCAGAAAGAAAACAAAGCGATCGCTCTTGATAGAAATGTCTCATGTCAACTCGTCTTTGGAGCGTGAGTATTTCCCAGAAACGGGAAACAAGGCGGTCTTGATGACACTTTCTGCGCTGTTTTAGCTGCCCGTCTAGGAAGTCACGAGGCTTTCCATGAGAACCTGCAAACCTCTCAAAATTACCTGCAGCCCTGTTCACAACTAGGCTCCACAATTAGGCTCCGCTTTATTTCGCCCACAATGATGCATCGAAACCAATTCAAAGCCGCACAGTACATGTTATTATAAAGAAAATAGTGTCTCAACTCATAGTAAATTTATGCCAACCTTTTCCTGTTGACTGTGGTACACATTTCGCCGTACACTCTTCCATGGTAGCAAAGTTGTTCTCATTTCCTTTGCAGCCGCCGTAAGTAAACGCCAAGCACTGTTTTTTATTTTTGTCGTATGCGTAACTGTAATATTCACCATCTAATTCAGGAAAGCAGTTTTGAAAATTTCTTGGATTGAAAGGCAATTCTTTGCTTGGGAATGTATTTGATCCAGTGCGAGCTTGAAACAGAAGCAAGAAAATGCTGATTATAGGATGAGTCCTGTACCTTTCAATAAGCTCAATTTTTTGCTACTAATAGAGACGTTCAAGTTCTAACACATTTGCGACAATAGTGTCCTGCCATTTCGGACAACACGACCCACCGTTGGGTCGTATGCTTTCTAAAGTTTTTGATTTTGCTATTTCACGGTGAAACTTTTTCGGCAAACCGAGTAAACTTTTGCACACATCTCTTGGAGACTTCCCAAAAGATTAAGACTTCAGACCACAGGACCATCAGTGATCTAAAAATATTATGCAAACTCAATTTTGCGAAATGTGCTCTGGTCCGAGATGGCAGTCATCAAAAAATCGGAACTGTCGTGAATGTGTTAAGAGTGCATGTTGAAGCTCTAACTTGAAGATCGCCCACAAAGTGCATAAATAAAGGAAACCTATACATTCATTATCGCATTACTAGTATACGAAAAATATTAGGACGGTCGGAAGTTCGTGCCGTTTTTTTACCCATGCTCAAACCACTTAGATTGCAGATAGACAAAAGCTGTGAGCGTTACCGATGCGGATTCTTCCTTTTGTTAAAAGTTATGTTTTTTCAGATTCCCTTGACTTCCGCTTAATAATCGGCTGGGATCTCCATTTTAGCCATCTTAAGTTCGGCTAATTTTTGAAATTCCTCATTCTCACTTTTGGACTAGCTTTGATAATAGTTGGATAGAATAAACAAAATGCAATGCAATTCTAAGTAAGCAAAAGAACCAAAAATCACTTTTCAAAAAAAAACCGTCATTTTTGTCATCATATGAGTTTTCCTCGTTCAAATTGATGATAAATATGTGGAAAAATGCCTAGTAATATTATGAATACAAAAAAGAACGCCACATTTTCTTTCGCAATCCTCTACATTTTGTTTGCAATGATTTCGCCTCTCTCTTCCTCATATCAAACAACTGTTCTTTCAGGTCAACGTCTATCACGCGAATGATTAGGCCCTCTAACAGGCGCCACTGACCTGCGCGTTTCTGTACTGCCGACCGCGTGGCCGAAAGGCTAGTGCGGCGGCGCTTACAGTTGACACGCGCAGGTTCGAAGGCGATCGATGTACGGTTTTGCGGTTGTCTGCATCGATAGCCGCTTCTCAAAATTTTCAAAAATATTTTTCTGATGCTATCAAATTCCATATTTGGGCATTCCAATCCTCACAGAACAATAAACGACGAGCAATCAAGGTGTCATTTGATGCAGCTTTTTCTCCTCTTTCTGATAGACCTCTTTTATTTCTGATTTGTAGTTGTTGGAAATAATGTTTCCGGACTCGTCCCCGCTTTAATCAGAAAATTCGGAATCCAAAATCTAATAGGTAAACGTTCACTTGCCTCTAAAATCAGCGTTAATTGATAAGCTGTTCTTCGAGGCCTCAAATCCCAAGATTTGTCAGTGTTTGAAGCGATTGTTTATTTTGCCTTTGCAAGAGTAAGGGCTTTTGGAAAAATTATTTTAAGAAACACTGAAAAGTTAGTTGATGAAGCCAAAATAGTTTATTGTATGCATTTTGTTTATTCTATCCAACTGTTATCAAAGCTATTCCAAAAGTTCAAGATGGAAATATGGGTGGAAATCATGGCTTGGAGATTCCTGCCGATTAATGAACGGACATCAAGGAAATCTGAACAAAAACATAACTTTTAGGAAGAGGAAGAAATTCTGCACCGGTAACGCTTACAGCTTTTGTCTATCTGCAGTCTAAGTGGTCTGAGCATGTGTATGAAAAATGGCACGAACTTTCGGACCGACCTAATATTAGGTTGTCTCGAAAGTTCGTTCGCAACATTTTCAAAAATTCATAACTCTTCAAATTCTCAACGAATTTGTATGAACAAAATTTTGCGTAAGAGAGGAACTCATGCTCTTTGCATCTGTACCTGAAATGTTCGTTAATATATACAAATGAAGGAGATATAAGCTTAAAACCCGCTTAAAAAAATTACTCAAATTTGAATTTTTCGTGTACGGTCATAAAAAATCGGAAACTTCCAACAAAAATCGGAGCAGTGGATATTGTAGGTTCTTTTAGCAGCTTGCAAAGTTTGCGCCGATCGAGCGTCTCTATGGAAAGTTATGATTTCCCTGAAAAATGCCAAAATAAATCAAATTCGCCCTTTTGTATTGCTTGCTTGAAAATCTTAACTTTCCATAGAGACGCTCGATCGGCGCAAAACTTTTTGAATCCAATTTTCTTCGTTCAATCCGCAATTTTATAATATCATTTTTAAGACATGTCGCATCCGTTTATCCGGCCGCACTCAACTCACAAATCTCATCAAAACGATCCATTTCAATCTGGATGGATACAGAGCGAGAAACTAGGCAGAACTAAGTGCTACACCATGAGTGCTTCTCCCTTCTGCCTTCCGTGTCAGTACTTGATTTTCAAAACCTCGATTGAAGCAACTTTCTTCTTCCTCTCCTTATTTGAATTTTCGCAGTTACTGTTTCGTGCCTTTTGTACAGAATCGTTGGTTCACGTTTTGCAAACATAATTAGCCTAAAGTTGCAAACCCTGCAATTGTTCTCCACTACTCACCGTTCCATGTTTAGAGTGCATGCGCCTCTATCGATGTCTTGTTGGCACACGTCTGTAATCGCCTAGAAACTAAGTGACTTTTTTCATTATTTGACAAAACTTACCTTCTGTAGGTTCCGGATTCGCTGAAGTACTACACATTGACACACATTCTCCCTTGCTTGCAAAGTTGTTGGTGTTCCCTTGGCAGCCACCATAGAAGAAAGGAACACACTTTTGAGCTGTGCTGTCGTAAGCGTATCTTAGAATCAAGTTTTAGTAAAGTTTTTCAAGTGGGGGACACAGCACTACCTAGGTATTTGTGCGCCGCATGAGCCAAGGTCAATCGGTTGCGAACAAGTATCTAAATGAATGCGTAAACAAGAATTTTTGAAATTTAATTAACGACAGATGGTTTTAAACCGAAAGCTTAGAAATTAATTCACAGCTCGCGTGGAAACTGCATGCTTACATGTCACAATACAACAAAACATTCCGCGTGTATTCATTTCACGCGGGAGTGTCGTAGGTTCCGAATTTGTTTGCAGTGGCTGCTGTGCCTTGATGTTAAAAATACTAACAACTTTTCCGTTACAGCGCAGTGCACTATCGAACTTACACTTTGAGGAATTGAAAAGTCGGAAAACTTGACAGTTGAATTTGCTTCTGACTGGAAACAAGGTGAAGCATATGACATCAGAACAATACGGTTTTGCTAGATGCTCACTGTACCAAGTCGTTAAAGAAAAGCATATTTGCGTTTCCTCATAGACTTCTTGACTGACGCTTTGCTGGTCATCAACCAACGAGATTGCGATGACGGAGTGCGTTTTCTTCACAATATACAATTTCTGCCCCAATACGGCTCAGCCTGCGTCATCCCATTTTTAACTCCTTCACACAGAATTGACGTACTGCTTTAACTTGCAGTGTTGCGAAAGGTTTGAAGAACGGCAGGTAAATTTCATGATTGTCAAACTACTTTGCCAACAAAAGCGAAGTTTCAGTGATACTGTTACGATATACACTACACCATGCTATTGTCGCGTAGTTCGTTTTTATTAGCACGCAAGAGTTTCGCGCATGCATGCTTGCATAATGGTTTGATTCATATTAGCATCATCGATTGAAGTTCTGCTGACAAGGCTAAGGATTGCGGGCGCGTACTCCTACGCAGGGCGTACGTAACTAGCATATACTGCAAGTAATGTTTACTGCTGCCTCAAATTTCTAAAAATACGAAATTCTTCTCACCTTTCGCATTGACGCTAATTGTTTGCTTTTCGCATGTTGACGCGCAAACATCCCTAGTTTCAAAATTGTTTCCATTTCCTTGGCATCCTCCATAGTAGAATGGAACACATGACCGCTTCGTTAGATCGTAAGCGTAGCTAAATTTTGCACGCATGTTTTTTTTATAAATAGGAGAAAAATGAATGAGCTACGCAAAAGCACTCACCGCTGTATTAGTGAATCACAGGGGCCGACGTTAATTGGTTGAGTACAGACACCTAAAGTAAGCATGTGCAAAAATGACGTCTAACTCCCAATAATTCTATAATGTAAATATGTCACCATTTACGTGATTTACGTGTACATACACTACTAACAATGGGTGCAAGCCCCCTTGAACCTGTCGTTGCATTGATTGCTCCTTACGCGTTGTTGTGTGTTCGCTGTCAAAAAGCATCTGTTGGTCTTTATTAAGCCCTACAGACCTATGCGTTTGCGCCTTCTCTTGAGCACACCGATCATTCAATTTGTTTCACAGTTTTCTTTCCGCTGCCAAGAGCCCAATTTACATGGAGGATTCACTCAGCAAGATACAGATTGACACGTTTTCAAAGGGTGCTTAGTATTGTAATGCAACTCAAAGGATAATTTGAAGTGAACTGAAGACATTACTTGTCACCGAAGGGAACACTTTAGAAGGTAGTAGTTTGTTGATAGCATCTTATATATAAAGCTGAATGTCTGTTTGTCTGTCTGTATGTATGTACAGTCCAGTAGATTTAGCGGTAAATATAGTGTGCTTGCACAGAAGGTGAAATGCGGTGAAATTTGCGCGTGAACAAGTAGCCACGCCACTACTGCGGGTATTTTGCCCGCGCAATTGGCCGGCGTCACAGTCGAAGCTATTTCTTCACGCGCCAATTTTACCGCATTTCACCTTCTGTGCAAGCACACTATATTTACCGCTGAATCTACTCGACTGTATGTATGTATGTATGTATGTACGTATGTTCCGAATAGAAAATTCCATTTCTGAACCGATCCGGACCAAACTTGGCACACATACACTTCGGGCCCCGGCGGGTGTCATAGGCTACTTTTCGTCATCGATCGATATCGATTTTATCGATTTTTATCGATTTTTTTGCTGAGTTCACCTACGGGGCTGGGAGTTGGCACAGGGGGGTAATCGAGCATGTTCCGAATACAATATTGGTTTTCAGGATTATCGATTACTTTTATCGATTTTATCGATTTTTTTGCAAAGTTTGAGCTACGGGGCTGGGAGTTGGCACAGGGGGGTAATCGAGCATGGGGATTCCGAATACAATATTGGTTTTCAGGATTATCGATTACTTTTATCGATTTTATCGATTTTTTGTAAATTTTGACATGCGAGGCTGGGATTTTGCACAGGGGGTAATCGAGCATGCTGATTACGAACACAATATTAGTTTTCAGGATCGTCCATTACTTTTATCGATTTTATCGATTTTTTTGCAAAGTTTGAGCTACGGGGCTGGGAGTTGGCACAGGGGGGTAATCGAGCATGGGGGTTCCGAATACAATATTGGTTTTCGGGATTATCGATTACTTTTATTGATTTTATCGATTTTTTTTGCAAAGTTTGAGCTAGGAGGCTGGAAGTTGGCACAGGGGGGTAATCGAGCATGCTGATCACCCCCCTTGGGGGTGATCAGCATGCTCGATTACACCCCTGTGCCAAATTCCAGCCCCCTAGCTCAAATTTTCAAAAAATCGATAAAATCGATAAAAGTAATGGACGATCTTGAAAACTAATATTGTATTCGGAACCCCCATGCTCGATTACCCCCTGTGCAAACTCCCAGCCCCGCAGGTCAAACTTTACAAAAAATCGATAAAATCGATAAAAGTAATGGACGATCCTGAAAACTAATATTGTGTTCGTAATCAGCATGCTCGATTACCCCCTGTGCAAAATCCCAGCCTCGCATGTCAAAATTTACAAAAAATCGATAAAACCAATAAAAGTAATCGATAATTCTGAAAACTAATATTGTATTCGGAATCCACATGCTCACTTCCCCCCCTGTGCCAACTCCTAGCCCTGTAGGTGAACTCTGCAGAAAAATCGATAAAAATCGTTAAAATCGACATCGATCGATAACGAAAAGTGGACTGTGACACCCGCCGGGGCCCGAAGTGTATGTGTGCCAAGTTTGGTCCGGATACGGCGGAGCCGGGTAAGCCAGCTAGTATTCTATAAGAATCAGTGGAAGAGTATACGACTGCATTTGTTGCGTGGTCGACACAGCACATTTGACAACAAACCGACTAATTTGCTCTCGGAATTTTGCGACAGATACGATGCAAGTTTTTTGGTGTTTTAGTGTTTGTTATAATTCAGCGCTCTTGACAATCAGATATAGTTGAATATCGTGATCGCAAACAATATGCTTTCACTTGGTTAGATGCATGTTGTCTCATTGCTGCGCTTTCACAGCGTCAACATCTATTTTGCCTTTTACCTTAGCAACATAATGAAGCATAACTCCGCTTAAGAAATTGTGATGGCTCTGAAATATGTGAGAGAATTTCAGAACATTTAAAAACTAAGGGCAGAGACAGGCTTTGAAAATCAAAATGGACCACATTTGATATTATGCAAACGTATGAGAAGAAATAAAATGCCCTCATCAGTTGTAATGTTCGTGGAACGGTTGAACGTGATCCAAAATAATCACGTAAATGTTAACGCTATACAAAATCCAAGTACCATTCTGGGACTCGCAATAAAACCACTCACTTGCATCGGGTTTCTGACAGGTAGCTTTGCAATCTTTCAAAGTTTCAAAGTTGTTTGCATTTCCTCCACATCCGCCATAGTAAAATGCCACACAAGATTTTGTTGTTTTGTCGTATGTGAAGCTAAAAACGGTATGTAAGAACGTTGGCTAGCAAGACTTTCTCTTCTGACAGGACACAACAAAACTCTTGCCCTATAAACTCCTAACGTGGAAAATGGTCAGGACTTTATCTCATCCGCACTGAAATGCTAATCACAATTGTATGTTTGTTATGTGTTTAGCCACTATCAGGAAGGAGCTGTGAGCGTTAGAAAGTGCAGATTTCGCAAGTGTTAGCGCATGTTTCAGGAAATACATTCACCACTTAATTGGATGTTCAATGGATATGTTTCGGGACTAAAATACTCACATCACGGTATTTAGAGATGAGATGATTGCGCTCCGCTTTTACTGCCTTAAGAAAGCTTGGTATTTATGTCGAAAAGCGAAGTAGCTGAACTCTTAACCCTGCTAGCTGGCAGCAGTCTCTTATCACACAAAGCTAGGCATTCGGTCGAAGCATTTATTGCATTACGTAACGTTGATATACCGGTGATATCATACCGTGTTGAGGAAGATGAAGGGGAAAATGGCATAGTGGTATGAGGCGCCGCTGTGACCAAATCAGACGATGCTTCGATCTCGTCATTAACTCAAAAGACCTTTAACCTCCTGGGATGGCAAATTGGTATTAGAGTAGGGAGGATAAAGCACAAGCTTGATAATTTGCTGGCCCCAGTTATTTCAAGTCCGCGCTTTCAAATACTCTTTGCTTATGAAGTAGAATGCGTTCTGCGCATACGCAAATTATTGAGTCGTTACATAAGTTCTTAGCGTTTTCGGAACCATCGAAATGACAAAATTTCATCAAAATTTAGTTTATGATGTGCTTTCCGTTGTTGCGCATAACCGTTTTACGTTGCCGTAAGTTTTCGTTTTCGTTTTTTCATAACTCAGCAGGCCGGGTCCCAAAAAAGCCAGATGTCGAAATTGCTCTTTTGTCTTTCGAAAACTACACGTTTGAAAGCTAGAAAATTTAACCGGGTCAGCTTCCCATAGAAACCAATAGGTTCGTCATAAAGAGCATAATTGGCTTTTTCTAACGACATACGACAACTTGCCGCAAATCAACCTCCTTTCAGAAAAATTAGGACGAGAATGAAAATGCTACGAACTTATGGAACAACCTAATCTATCTGGAAAACTTCGAATCTTTTATCCTTTTGAAGGAAATAAGTACTTAGCTTTTTTGAAATCACACTACCTAGATGGGAAGCATAGGTCGGTGTTTATTGGTAGGCACAAATAATTGTATGTCTTTACCCAGCAGATTTCTGGAAATGCCAATCAAAGTCTTGGCTATTCGCAACATAATCTACTCATTTCGAAGATTAATCTCACTTCAAGTAAAAAGGATATGACTGACCGTAACAGCCTAGCACGGCATGGACCGGACAGTACAGGCAAAGAACAAACATCTGAAACTTATTGTTATAAATCTAACGACTGAATGCTGTTTGCTCCCAACAGGCAAAAATCGTAAGTTCAAGCAAATGAAATTTCCAAAACCAGATAAATGTTCACCTTCTGGCTTCGAACTTGATGTTGGATTTTGACATGAGTCTTCACAATCTTGCTGAGTTTCAAAATTGTTGGCGTTTCCTTGGCATCCTCCATACGTAAAAGCTACACATTTTCCCAAGCGGCTCATATAAGCATAACTGCAAGAGGCTCACTGTTGCATCTCATATTTAGTAAGTTTGTGAATATATAGATAATTAGTAACTAGCTTGATTTAACTCAACCAATTAGAATCTCGTTTTTCTACAGGTTGATATTCGAGCTGAAGCTTGGCATTCTAGTTCGCGATATATATTAGGCTGGAAACTAAGTTTTACAACTCCTTTCACAAATTCACTCTGTTCGGATGTGGCAGACTCAACTTTGGCAACGTATAGAGAGCAATGTGTGCTACAACTACGCACACCTGTTTAGAGTTTAGAGACGAATTATAAAAATTCCAGGCATTTTTCAAACCAGTGAATTTTGGGAATTCTTGGAATTATAAGCCAAAATGAAGCCGCTAGCAGCCTAGACCATTCGCTATAGTCCGAAATCGTGTGCCGACTTTTGCTAGAGGTCGACTCATTTGGCTCAGGCAAGAAAAAAAACAAAATATTAGCATGTCGAGATTTGGCGCAATCACAAATTCGAACGAGTCCGCTGTACGCAAGGCTGCTGGGGCATTCGTTATTGACCAAGAAGTCAGAACCTCAAAATTCGGCGAGACTTCACATAGTAAGGTTATTTGACCTGCCATACACGAAATATAATTTTTTCGTAAAATTAACGCCTTTTTCCTTGTCTAGGGTGAGAACCTATATCGGCTACAGTAATCTTACAAAAAGCCCTTATAAAGCAACTTAAGCGTCGTTTTCGTGATCAGCACCTCAGATAACGCCCTTATGCCACGTTTTAGACAAATCTGCCAAATTCTGTAATTTTTCCCCTTACTACCAAACACCTACCGTAGCACTCCTGCGGCGTTGGCAGAACAGCAGCTGCTCTTATAGCTTACGTCATAACCTACGCAATGACAATTGATTGCGCCATTTCAAAAAGAAGAATGCTATTAAAGTAGTTGCAAAACTTAGTTTCCAACCTAGTAGATTTAGCGCTTACTCGGATCTAATCCCTATGCTGAATCCGAAAATCCACACGCAAAAACGGGGAAAAGGGCTTTAACCAGCAGGGAAATCAGCAGGTAGGCGGACTCTTTCCCACTGTGAATTCACGCTCTCACGTTTTGGAGCGATCTTCGCGACCGCTAGCTGCCCTGACACAGCCACCGGCCAAGTGCGAACGCGTGGCTTGCAATCGGAACCGATATCGCTCCGGAAGCTGGGAGTGTGAATTCACAGTGGGAAAAACTCATACTGAGCCCTTTCTCGCCGTTTTTGTGCTGTCTACTGTCAATTTTCGGATTCAGTAAAGCGAATAGGCCCGGGTAAGCACAAATTCTCGAAATTGACTTTTTGTTTGCATACTGCCTTTAAAGCGTGAAAAACGATGGATGAGATTTTGGCTGAACTTTAAATTCCATTGTTTGTTTCTAAAGTGGCAAATTTTCACATAATTCGTACAGGTCGTGCGATTGATCCAGCAGGCGGCTTCATGGAGCCTTCAGTTTCACAAAGAGCTCTATCATACTCCAAGGAATCAAAAACTAAAGGCACGGGGGCAAATCCCGCACTTGAAAATTTTTTCCTAACGGGGATTATCCGATGCCCTGATCCTACAAAGCCACACCTGGTGAAGAGTGAAAATCGTAAAAAAAACATTTTTCAAGGCTTTTCATTTTGAATTCGGACGAGTGCAGCAGTCCGCCATGGTTGGAGAGGCAAAATCGTTGCAGGGCCCTTACGGTTTACAACGAAGGCATGCCGCAATTGTGGTGGGAGGAGGATTGCATGTGCGAGCGCTTGTAAGAATGACTTGCGCGAGCGGTTTGAGGGCACTTTACTCGTTGTGAGAAAGCTGCAGACCAAATAGTCTGTTATATTTGGTAGATATAAGCAACAGCTTTAAAACCTCAAGGTATCAGTTTTGCCCTCACTGCCTTGAAGGGCTTGAACTTTTTATCTTCTTTATCTTCCAATAGAACGCAGCAAAACTTAAGGGATAAAACACTAGACTTCGGAACTTTAAAACTTTGTGTATGGAGCTCATTTGACCTGTTGGACACTGATATGCAAGGTCACAAAACTTTACAGTCGAATCATTTCATATGATCATGTGTGCCATTGCACACACAGTCCACCTTCGGCGGCGATCAAATTGGGAAGTCAGGTTTTTAAGGAACATCTGAAAAACGGTTCGCAGTGGCAGTCAAAAAAATGTATAACCTCGTTTATATTTGTAAATAATCAGTAGTTTTTGAGTCTTTCTATAAATCCGAATTGGCCTTATAAAAGAATCCTTTTCTGCTTTCTGAAGTTTCGGGGTTTTGTGGTGGGCGCGCAAAAATTTGGGGGAGCATCCCATCCCAAAAAATCTTTCTGAGACGTGGCTAACGGCAAGTACCTTCAATTTTTTGCTTCTCTGCTTCTCTTAAGCGGTAAAATATGACCTTCAAAGGCGGCGTCCCGGCAAAAAGATGGGTGGCGGGTTTCTGTGGAGATGTCAAAGTAGACCCCCTACCTAAGCGATGACTGAAGTTCGGAGCGGAAAAGAGGGTCTACCAATCTTGAAATTTGCCCGGAAAGTGGCCCGGATCCTACGGTAGGCTCGGGTGAGTGCGAGTGCATGCAAGGTAAAGAAGCAGAGTCGCTGCAGGACCCTGCGCTCTTGACTGTGTGCGCTATGCGTGCCCTGGCGCTGCAGTTCGAAATCGATTTGTGGGCGGCGTTCGGGCCTACTGTAAGATTCGGGCCCTTGGAGAGCGATTTATAGACCTCGTAGACCCCCGTTCGCGCTGCAAACTTCTGTCGTCGCTTGCTAGGGGTCTACATTACATTAATACTAGAGACAGGTACCCTCCGATCACGTGGGACGCTGCCTAATGACTCAAAACCCTCCTCAAATTTCCCACCATAACCTTGGGCTAATGAGGAGCGATTGGTATAGATTTGATTGAATTGATTGGCTCCATTCTGTAAATCTAACAATAAGCTAAAGCCATCTTTGCAAGATAGCAGCTAAAAGTAGGCAGAAGTCTTTGTGAGAGGACAGAGTTGACTATCAAACAGATATGTTTTTGGGAAATCTTGTAATACTCACTCAAAGGCGGCAAAGTATTGGTATGCACGCAGTCTGACCCAAGCACAAGAATTAAAAGTGCTTTGTAGCAAAGGCAAAGTAGCTAGCTCATTTTTTAAACAAAGTTAATTACGTATGAAAATGACCGTTTTATCTTCCAGATAACTAGCTTGAAGGCACCGTCCACCCAAATTCTCGACTTCCATGTTTTTGTCGCTTCCGGGCCTTCTGAAGGCCCTGATTTCGAATATGAAGTCGAGAATCCCAAAAACCCCTATTTTGGAGAAAGCGGGACGGGTGGAAGTGCAGTTTGCAGGGCTGCGGCGCGGTTATCGCCCGGCGTATATCAGCGCCGCAGCCCCCAAAGCTGCAAAATGGGCGGAGTGACCCCCTCTGGATCACGTATCACGTAATTTCCAGAGCGGATTTCTCGCCCCGGAAACAATCTTTTGCGGGGAAACTTGGGGATTGGCCTAGTGTGGGGGCCCACATTAGCATGCCATTGAATCTCGTGAACCCTCACTTTGGGTGGACGGTGCCTTTAAAGGCATCGTCCACTCCATTAAAGGTCTTAGGTTTCTAGCAGCTTATGATACAGTCTGCCCCGATCGGGACCCGGCCAAACCGACGACTGAACTTGCGTGCTCAGCACCAGGGGTTTGCGCTGCATAAGCGCGCTGTCGCAGAGAGCGAGGAGATGAGGAGAGAGCGAACTAACTAGCCGCAGACGTGACGCAATACCCTCGCGATACGAATTCCCAGTATGTCAATTCTGGCCTGTTTGGGATTGGGGCAGACTGTAATAAGACCTTCTATCAAGAAAATGCTCAAGTCGCGGCGCAACATGTCGCTTCGGAATAGATGCGTAAGGACCCCAAGTCCGCACCGCCTCCTCCAACAATGCCCGCCCATCTGTCCGCATTCAATCACCTTTCGGAAAGGAGACTGTCGGGGTTATCGCGGATCCTCAATTTCATATTCGGAATCAGAGGTATGAGAAGGTTTCGTAGCGATGAGAATATGGAAGTCGAAGTGGACGGAGCCTTTGCTATTTGAAAAAAAATCAGAACTCACTAAAATTGGGTACACGTAGGTTTGGCATACCTATTGCGAAGATGCTCACTATGCTCGGAGAAATCTCTCTATCATGCGTACTTTAGATCGATGAATGTTCTCAGTGTGATGGTAATTTGTCAAATGAAACTCTTTGACTGTTGAAATTTCGTGTTAACACTGTCATCGTTATCACCTCATTTACGACTCCCGCCTTCTCCCAACCAAATGACGTCACATGTGGTGTGCCACACCCACGGTTGAGATTGTTGATTACGAAAATATCACTCCAGTACAACTTCACTTAATCTTCTGTGCCGTACAGGTTTTTGACGACGACACACTTTATTGCCTGACGTTTCGGTTACACACCGTCTTCAGAGGCCTGAAAAGGTGTCAGTCATATTGATATCACTCTACTTGCTGCCAAGCCCTCATCCCATCTACGCACTTGATTCGTCTAGGATGAAGATCGAGAGGCTGGGCGTGAGAATCTACCCACCGAGTGTATCAACGGCAGCAGTGTTATCTGCTTCAGACTTGCTCGATGGACTGCAGTGATGATGAAATGAGCAGTCGGAACATTCTGAGGCTGCGATCAGCTATCTCATAGTTCGCATAGCGCAAGATACGGCAATAGATCACTTGTGATAGAAAGCTTTTCATTCTTGCCGTTCATTTTCGGATCCCGGGCAAGTATATAAGACGCCTCTAAAGCCTTTCGTGCAGAGATTTGATCTTCCAAGGCTAATATTTTGCACTTGATTTCAAAATCATCACAGCTATGTTCGACTTTCCTATGTTTACCTAGCGGGCTCATTATGCCCTGACGTTTGCTACTAGCGAGGTGTTCATTTATCCTTACGCTTAGTGGCCGCTCGTTTCACTGGTGTAAACGGAAGAGCAGCTCGTATATTCGCTTTGGTAGACGACGCCATTTTTTGCGCAGTCACCTGGTCTTCCGTAAGGGCACACTCCGCAATCTCGTATAGTACGGGTTCTGTCATACAGCATGTTGCGCACTGCGCACTAGGCTGTTTCTTAATATTATCTCCTGAAATATTGACCAATATAATATCCTTTGCAGCTGTACTTGTGCTAGATATTGCTTGATTCCGGCAGTGACCCTCTCGGAGATGAAAGGCAAGCACGGAGCTATTCTGGTTGATACTCTCTTCGCTTGTCTTTGTCGTGACTCTTTTAGGCGTTTAAAATGCATCGTATATCCATTTAAATTCATTATTTTAGCCGCAATTTCCAATGAATCTTCTCTTTCAGCCTTGTCATTACAGATATTCTTTGCCGTTTCGAACTTGTTGTGTATGACAGCTCGTTTAGCGGCTATCGGAGCGCGGATTTTGCGTGCAAAATGGTGCTCTTATTACTCTCTTTGTGGTACCATTTAATGCGCACCGAGCCGCTAGCCACCATCAATTGTGTGTTCAGGAACGGAAGCCAGCCGTCTCGTGGTCTTTCTCTTGTTAGGCTTATGTACTGCGACTGTTGATTTAATAGTCTGAAGCACTCGTCCATTTCGGACTGAGTTGCAGTAACGATGCAACAATCGTCAATGTATGTAGAACAGAAGATTAAGTGAGGTTGTACTAGAATGCCCAGGTTACAAGAAGGGAGAAGCTTTGACATATTATTTTGGTTTTCTTCCGGCCTCGGCAGGAGGTGGCTCTGGCATTTGGAGACAGAGCCCCACTGACTTCGAAACAAAATATAATCTCTCCTTGTTTTTTCTAGCCACCTTAGGCGCCTTCCCAGGGGGTTCAAAGGCCTGCGGTAGGAGTTTGTTACGCCGTTTACAGAATTTTTACGATATCTTTCATACATTGCTCCGATTTCCCGTCACCCGTCTGCACACCAAGTTTGATGTCATATCACGTCCTCTTTGCTGTAACCTTTTGTAAATTTTGGGACATACTTTTTGTTTCCTGCGCTTGCACGGAGTATATTGGAGCGTGAAGTTGTGGATTTTGCAAAGATTGGGATTGGTAGGGCAGTGGGATTTTGCATATACAGGGTGTCCCAAAAGTATGTATCGAACGTTTGATCGTTAATATCTCTCTTCCAGAAGTCTTTTGCCTTGCTTCAAGTACCATTTTGTAGAGCTGGCTTCAACTTAGATTTGCATTAAAGAACGAATCACCCATCTCTCTTCATTACTGTAGGATTACGGTAGAAACTTGAAACATATGGTGTCAATGTGGAAAAAGCTGCAGTTCCAAAATTCTTCAAAAAATTGGGAAAACTTGTGTAATAGGGTTTTTATGGATGCTGAGTTCAATACTCAACTATTCACAAGATTACAAAGCTTTCTAAACGGTGTAATCGCACTTTTTAGGAACATTGAAAAAATGGCCGCTACCTCTTACCTGGCATAACTCCTCAATGAAGCATCATAATAAGTTGGGAACTTTACAGTTATAATCAGCAACTCTAATTAGCCTAGTGTGAAAACTTTCAGGCTGTTTTATTTCCTTTCTAAGGCAAAATATGGCCTTTCATTGCTTAAAACCCTCTTTGAAGTTTCTACCGTAATCCTACAGTAATGAAGAGGAATGAGTGATTCGTTCTATAATGCAAATCTAAGTTGAAGCTAGCTCTACAAAATGGTACTTGAAGCAAGGCAAAAGACTTCTTGGGAAGAGAGATATTAACGATCAAACGTTCGATACATACTTTTGGGACACCCTGTATATTATGAGTTGTATGACAATAGCGATGGGATAAGTTTGTTGTTCTTATAAGCTAGAGGACTGCAGAAACTTGTTGGGTTGATTGGCGTGGCGTTGTTTAACCCGTCAAAGTTTCTACTAGATTGATTTTACATGAAACTCCAGTTTTAGATTGCCTTGCATATGTAGAAGATTGTTTAAAATTGTTTTATCAATGCCATCCGATTTTTCAAGAAGGGATTGGCAATTTCTTCATATACAGCATATTCAACTGATACATGCATTGTTTGCCGCGACTCCGCCCCACTATCTTTGCTTTTACCTCAAAACGATCTCCAACCTGCCCCGTAAGCCACCTGTGACGAGACCCGGTCATTTGAATGAAGAAGACTTTCTAGCGGCTTCTGCGTAGAACCCTTCGAAATGTGGCAGATGCATTCAAAAAAGGACGATTCATATCCAAAAAACGGCACTGAAAAACCTGTGGAAGGGATGCACTATAGATTAGACTGAAATTTTGTACGTTAAATTGCTTCTTTGCTTATCAGAACTGACATTCGTATAGCGTTTTCCGGATTAGTGCATTCGGCATATGAAATCACAATAGAAATTTGAAAAATCTAAGCTGTGGAGAGACGACAGTCTGCGATGTACAGCAGAGAGGCCAAAATTTGCAGATTTATTTCAGAAGAATCATCTTTTACTAGAATCGGTCATTATTGTCTTAAGCCTTATCTTTGCTGAAATATAAGAGAATTTACGACAGCCATGCAAAAATCAGGCGGTCTTCACAATGTTCATGGGTGCGAAAAAGTTTTTGAACGCATTCGAGAATTCAACCTGCATCGACCGTCTTTTATAGGCTTCCAATGACAATCATTTGATTAAAACTGTAAAACTCACCGAGGTATCATGGCGAGACATGGACCAGCATCTATGGGCAGTGAGCACCGATCTAAAATCTTTGACTTGCCCTCAAATCACAATGCGTTCAATGTAGGAAAAGACCTCCAGTTTCCGGTGTAGTTGGTTCAGCACCTTGACGCATACATCTTGATATACAGCTAGCCAAAGTTTGAAAATTATTCTCGTTTCCCCTGCAGCCTCCGTAATTGAATGCAACACATTTCTTTTGTTCACCGTCGTAAGCATAACTGTAAGAATGAGAAACGGTGTAGTAGTTTTCGAGGGTGCCAAGATAACGATAGCTCTGCCAACCGCTAGCTGCCAGTTGCTATAAATGTGGACCGCGCTCACTCTAAAGCGGTCTTCATTTATTTCCTTTTATTAGAATTTATTCCTTCATTGGCCGCAGAGGCCTACATGTTTCACACGATTGATTGAGCACAAAAGGGCCAGCGCGTGATTGTGTTTCAGCTGCTAATTGCCATCAAAAGAGTTATCAGAAGCCATGGATAAGGAAAAATAGCATTTGGGCACATACTTCTACAAACCGTACTGTCTGCTTGAGCTCGTTGACACTCATGCATATAGGGCGCTACTATTGGCGGCTGTTGCTATCCACATTTATCCTTCTTTTGCGTAAAAAAGGAGAGTTGAATCTTGGATTTTGCATGCGCAATTACATTTGATCGTAAAGCTTCTGCTGTTGATCATTTTTGGCTTTATTTTAATGTTAGCGCTTATTACATGGTGGGTGACGTGAGCTACGGAACTTCCAGCGCTTGCAACGGCAAAGTGATGCAGGGTTGTCGATGTGGTCTTAAAAAGGAAGGTATCTTATTTCGGGTATGTATGCTGCACCCTGATTGCTCGAAATGGAACGCGCCAGCAAACTCAAGAGACTCAATCTTAAGGGCCTTGAACAAAGCATGCGAGAAGAAAAGAAGCGCAGTCACAACGTTGCTCTTGGGTTTGCTCGCCTTTGGAGCAAATTGAGTTTGGCTTATACACTTAGGGCCGCATACATTAACATCCCCGCCGGGGAGGGGATCGCAGCTCAAAAGAAAGCTTCGTATTTTGAAGCTCCAGGTATCTCGATTTCACGCTGTCTACCTACAAGTATTCCTACTGTTCATTCACAATGAACACATTGAACAGCAGCGAGAAGCTGCACAAGACTCATTTTCCAGCTTTTGTATGATCCCTGATGATCTGCGGTGCATCTCTTTAAAGTCATTTTTCTTTTTCCAAGGTCAACGAAAACCTTCCAAAGTTGTGCTGATTATCCAATACAACAGTGCTAAGCATGTTGTGATGCAAATAAATGAAACCCAACTTCAACTTGTGGTTCATCGCAAATTTCAAGACTCCGATACATCACTTGTCCTTATCAGCAACGAGCTAACAAGGGAACGATACTCGGTGTCCGTGGCCTTTTGTGATGAGATGTATACCATTACATTCGTCTTGGAACGCTGATTCCAAATCTTACTTCCGTTTCTGCTTATCGCTTCAAAGATTTTATCATGGATCGCGCGGAGTTTGGCTGCCCAGTGAAATATAGTCGGAGCGCCAATGTCGCAGGTGCGCTGTGGTCTAGTGGTTAGTGCGATAGCCTCGTGAGTTGGTGCATGTGTAGGTTCGTGTCCTTTTGTGTTTTTCAGTTTTGCGTTGCCTCAATTAATCTTCTTTCGCATCCTCAAACTAAGTGAACGCCCTTACTCTTCAAAAAATGTGAAATTTTGGAAAAAATGTACTATTCGCACTGAAATGTACCCAATGGTTATAATTCGCGTAAACTTTCTCGAACAATCTTAATTAAGGCAATGCAAAAAGTAAAAACACAAATGATTTAAACCTACACCTGCATCAAATTATGAGGCTATCGCACTAACCATTAGACCAGAACGTGGTCGCTGTAGAGGCCATTCCAATGACCATATTTCCTTTGAGTGGCCAAACTTGGATCGATCCTCCATAACTTCTTTCAGAGAAACGATTAGCAGGAACGGAAGCCAGATTCGGAATCAGCGTTCGAAAACGAGTGTAATGGTATACATATTGTCTCAAAAAACCACGGACAATGAGTATCGTTTCCTTGTAAGCACGTTGCTGATAAGGACTGTTGGGTTAGATAAACAACTTTGGAAGGCTTTCGTTGACCTTGAAAAAAGAAAAATGACTTTAAAGAGATGCACCGCAGATCATCAGGGATCATACAAAAGCTGAAAAATGCGGGTTGAGCAGCTTCTCGCTTCTGTTCAATGTGTTCATAGTGAAAGATATTAGGAATACTTACGGAGAGGTATACACCGTGAAAATCCAGATATCTGGAGCTTCATAATATAAAGATGAAGATTTTCTTAAAGCTGCGATCCCCTATCCGCGGGGATGTTAATGCATGCTGCCCTTGAATATAGGATAGTTGTGATGGCGTTGAGTCACATTACTGGGAAAAGCGAGCGTAGCAGCGTCCCGGTTTGCTGCAACAACGCGTACCCGGGCAGCTGTCTCCCTTTAAAAAGCAATCCAATTCAAAGGGTTCAGCAATGTATTCTACTTGAATTTCGTTATCTGAGAAAAGGACTGTTAGTAACGAAACAGCATGTACAGCCACAACTTACCGCGTTATCTGCGCTCTGCAGGGACCAGCTGTTATGGGAAGTGCGCAGATGTCTGAATCGCGTCCATTCATTATTTCGTGTAATACTCAGCGAAAGTTCTCAAATTATGAAACGAACTTTACCTTCTACGAAGGAATCGTTACACACTTCGCGACATTCCTCGATAGTCTCGAACATGTTATTATTTCCACCGCAGCCGGAGTAAGTAAATTCTCTGCACTTCTTAGTGACGGTATCGTACCCATAACTGCAAATGGCAGAAATCTTTGAAAAAGTATGGACTGAGCGCAACAGAAGCTACCGTTTTAAGTTACCCGCACATGGTCCTTTTTCTAGAGGTTTTGAGCAGCGATCTGCAAGAGACAAAACGGTACTCTGAATAGTTAGAACTGAATATTTTCGAATACTCGCATCCGAATGATTTATTCAAACCTGAATAGTCTAATATTGAGGAAAGTGCATAATTTGATTGTTCAAATAATCGGATGGATGAAAAAGACCTTTATTCGGATATTTGTTCATTCGTCGGATAAAAAAAATAACTTATTTGATTATTCGAAAGTTTATGCGAATGTTCAAATAATTTATTCTTTCTTTTCCTTAAATGAACAGATTTTCGAATAAAGGTCTTTATCATTCATCTGACTTTCGTATAATCAGATAAATGCCCTTTCCTAAATACTTGACTTTTTTAGTTTGTTCAAATCATTCAAATACGAATATTCAAAAACATTCGATTCTAACTACAGTACTCTGACAATGAGATCCAACTCACTGCATATCGAGAATAACTTCAAAAGCATGGTAGCAGGAAAATGACAGTAAGAAAATAGACTAGGCGGTCTTTGTTAGCTTTATGTTAAAGAGACAGGAAGTCTTTTCAAAAGGGCTATTCCGTACCCGGGCCATCCTAATTTAATGCGAATCGGTGACACTCCTTCAACCATGCAATGCAAGTAACAAGATCAGTGGATAACAAGTGAGCCACATCTACCATTTGTTTGCTGTTGAAAAAGCGGAGAACTATACGGAGAACTACTATACTATACTATCCGTATCGGATGAACATCTGTTCATAGCTGTCAACGTGTACGTGCTTATGGGGAGCTTATGAAAAATACAAAAGAAATTCAAAACTTAAGTAAATAAAAAAATCACATGTTTATCTTTTCATTTAGCTAGGAGCTTGATCCTAATAGTCATGCTGACCGAAAAATATCTTCATAGTTTTTACCCTTGTTCAAACACTTCCAAGTTTTTTTCACGAATTTTTTTTTTTTGATATTACAGAGAGAAGGTCTTGTGTCTCAAAGCTTTCTCAAATTTATGTTTGCTCTAAAAGCCAAAGTATCCTAGGCGGGTTAGCTCTCTGGTTTGCTAATAATCCGTATGTAAATAAGCTATAAGCTATTTTTATCTTCTCGGCATTTTTTCTACTATTCTTCATTTTGTATCCAAATGACCAATTCTTGCTGCAAGCTGTTATAGGAATATAAGTCTACTAAATTTGTATACTAGAATTTGAAAAAGTGGTAAGCTTTGCGCAATGAAAGGGGACATGATCTCCGAGTTTAAACGACCATGTGCTAATCTATAGATGAAAGCGGAATATCTTTGGAAGTCCATAAGATCTCTACCTTTTTACCCATCTAGCAGTAATCTATGAGCATAACAAAAGCTAACCGTCTGCATTACGGTCATTGCATGAGATGCGTTTGGCGAAATTGCTGTGGTATTCTTCACAATTATAGCAATAAATTCGAAAAACTACCAGCGCTTTGGGCTTCTCGTCAGCAAAGAGATGTTGCAACCCTTTCGCAAGAGATCTGTCTCCACGGGTCACAGTTGCGTCATCACACTACAATTAGAAGTTCGGGATAAGAGAGAAAAAGAGAATCTCAGAACGTTATTCTTCTGCAAACTCACTGCAAAGTGCAGTGGCTTTGAAAATCTGAGCGTAGACATGAGAATGAATATATCTGGAAAGTTCTAATATTTCTCATTTAAGAAGAGTAATTCTTAACATTCTGAAAACTCTTCTCATGTGTTGCTGCGCTCCATGTGGGCATAAATTGTATCTCTAAATTTTCATGTTCGTTTCTCATTAATTCGTGCATAATTAGTGACGTACTTTTCTTCTCCATCTGAAAACTTCAGCACAGTATCAAGGTCATCTCTGGATTTGTTGGGTTTCTTGTCTTCTAGCGGAAGCTCAAGCGTACAAAGAAACACAAAGGGATGATCAAAAATCCGTATATCACAATGAAAAGCAAGAAGTCTGTTATATTAACATTAGCGAAAATGTGCATCTTGCAACAAATGTCTTTATTTTGGCGAAAATAAGTGAGCAAGATTGACGAAGATGAAGTGTGACAGAAAGGAAGGTTTTGCTCAATATACATCAGCTAACTGAGTGTCAGTCTTTGCAACAACTGGTGAAATTCAATAACTGTCGGAGAGCACGACCTGTCCTCCTAGATCCCATTAGTGCCAATGCTGGAGCAATGCTCAAAGGTGGGTATGGTTCCATAATTAGAGAGAACTTTGCCAATAATTTTTGCCAATAATTTCTAATTAGAGAACTTTGCCAATACGTACCATCAATTTAAGACATAACCGCCCAAAAAATGACTTTTTATGTCCAAAAAATTGGACTTAAAAAGGTCATTATTTGACATCGAGCTAGTCATGAACATAGAAACGAATAGAAATCATGCCTCCTTCTTATTATTGAGGTTTGCACCTCTAAAAATGCGGTCCATATTCGTACCTGGTGCGCACTTTTGCTCGCACTGTTCTCTGGTCTCGAATTTGTTACGCGTTGGGCCACACTCGCTTTCTGTGTATGCAATGCACCCGCCGGTAAATTTATTATAACCGTACCTGGAAACAGTTTGCAATCAGAAAGTTGCTAAATGAACTGAGCTACATGCATAGTTCTGTGCTTGAATCTAACAAGGAGAGCATACTTAGTCGAAAGCACCAATCCAGATGAGACATATATCATCTTGAAGCGCTTGAGAAGCGCTGATTCCAAATCCGCAGTTCTAGCTGCGGAGCGGTTTTGTAGAAGGAGTTATGAGGGGTGTTTCCTCTGGGGTTGAGGCGCCCTCCACCAGGTATCCCCCTACCTATGAGCACTGTAGGGAGTACCAACTGGCGGCAACTGACAGTGGTAAGTGACGTGCTTGATAAAGAGGCTGTGAAGGTTTTGATCCCCTTCGCATGCTAAATTGAACTTCTAAATGGCTTTAGAGCCCTAAAGCATGAAACTTCTGATGACGTTGATACTAATCGAAGTTAGAAGTGTTAAAAAAACCAAAGTAATGTGAGTATTATAATCTTTACTGTAATCTTCATTCAAGTTACTTACCATTAAGCCAGTTGCCATCAGCTGATACTCCTCTACAGTGCTTACAGATACGGGGAAACCGCTGGAGGGCGCCTAAACCCCAGAGGGGAACACCCTTCATAACTCCTTCTACAAAAACGCTCCGCAGATGGAAACTGCAGATTTGGAATCAGCGTTTCAAGCGCTTTAAGATGATATATGTCTCATCTGGATTGGTGCTTTCGACTAAGTATCCTCTCCGTGTAAGTCTTCGCGCAAAAGCTGAAGAAAAAAGTTTGAGCCAACAATTTGTTATGACCAACCAGTAGCGCAGTTTGATGTTTTACCCATGATATTCAATGTATTACAATACCGATGGCATGTTATAAAATGTGGAATAAGACTGTACCTGCTTTCCACATTCAGCTAAAACAACTTGAATTCAATCAGCAAAGTGGTCACCAGAACCTAGCACGAGGTCGGCAGTGGATATTGTGAAACGACTTTGCCTTCGCTATCGATTTTCACGATTTTATTCCTGATTTCGCCAGCTGCGTACAATACCGCTCACAGAATATGCAAAATTTCCGTAAATGTCGCCGGACTCCGTGAATTCCACGGAATTCCGTGACATCCCGGGAATTTCGTGGAATCAAGCAAATCACGCAAAATACCTAGCGCCATAACTTCCTTTGGGGTTGGTATGATCAATCACCCGTCCGGGTAACCCGAACAGGTATTTTACGCTTCATAGCTCGGTGCTCTGAGGATGTCTATCCTTGCTTGTCGCTCATATTTTGGAGGCTCTACTACCCTAATATTGTAGCACATGAATAGCAGCACTTTGCTGTATAAGCTGAGATGATTCGATATTTGCATGATCCCGAACGGGATTCCCCATTAATCATGGTCATTTTCAAAGTTATTTATATCCTTTAAAACTCAATGAAAACGTCACAGAGTTTTGCTATCGATTTGTTACGACAGTGCTACGCATGTTTGTGAAAGAAATAAGTGAAAAATCAAGTTGGCGAAATCTTCGATGAACCTGTGCTAACGAGTTGGGTTTTATCGAAAAACTCAAAATCTGTACCTTTCATCTGTGCTACTAAAAACATGCGTAGCACTGTCGTAATAGATCGACAGCAAACTCTGTGACGTTCTCATTGAGTTCTTGCGGATATGAATAACTTCAAAATGAGCGTGATCAGTGGGAGATCCCGTTCGGGACCATACAAAGAACGAATTATCTCAGCTTATACAGCAAAGTGCTGCTAATCATTCTGCTACAATATTAGGGTAGTAGAGCCCTCAAAATATGAGCGACAAGCAAGGACAGACATCCTCAGAGCACCGAGCTATGAAGCGGAAACTCTTGTCCGGATAACTTACCCGGACGGGAGATTGATACATACCACCCCGGAATGAAGATTATCTGAATCCGGAAGCAACATTTTGTTCAGTTCGTCAAAGCGAGTCGTTCAAGGACCACTCACGGTGGGATTTCGACGAAGGTATGCGATCTTTGATTTTGGGCAAGATTCAAGAGGACTTGTTTTCGTAGGCTCGCAAATCGACGATTTTTATAGACTGGAGCCCGAGACATGCATTTTTTGATGGCACAGTTCCTTTAACCTATAGAAGTGAGCAGGAGTTTTCTGATAGATACATGAAAAAAGCAGGCGAAATTACAAACTTTCGTGGCACGGTTGAAGTTACCTCACCATATCTCTGCAAAAAGACCCTGAATTCCCCAAAGACCACAATTTTCGTAAATAGCGTGTTCGAAAACCTCTATAAACGAATTTCCTTACAACACAAGATCATCAACATTTTGACCAAAATCCATCGGCGAGCAGAGCGTACGAGAAAAAATGAAATAACATGAACAATTCGGATAATTTCTTTATGGAAGTTATCCGGCCTGCTGATTACGAAAATCACATCTGCTTAGCGAGAAAGCCTCATTTTTTGGGGTTATGGCGAGTAAAATTTAGAACGAAGTGATTTTTTTTTTCAGGATTCGCAGAAATTCCATTTCCTATAGAAGAAAGTGTGCGTCTAGTGTTTTTAGCTCTTCAAAGTTCACAAAAGGAGTACTATAGAAAGGTTCTTGCAGAATCTATCACCCTAATTTCACGCTTATAAAGCGCACTTTTTCGAATTTTCAAGCGAGCCGCTCAGCCGCTTCACTGTATTCCGGAAAGAAATCCTCACATCGCACCATTCTCTCAAGCAATGTACACCACGTTATAGGGTCCTTTGGTTGTGAAGTCCTTTGGCTTGTTTGGGCTGGTCGATTTAAAAAAAAATCCGCCGCGCCTTATACGCGTAAAATTAGGGTATATTCCTAGGCACCTTTGAAAATTTCATTTTCTGACACATTTTTCTGGCGCTCGGTGGGACTTTGAACCAAGTTTTTTATACTGTTCAGTGGAAAGCGCCAGTTCAAAGTATATCGTCTAAATCATAGGTGATAAGATAAAGAAGTCTGTCAACTTCTAATTCACAGCTGTACTCGAGTCTTGCTATTTGCGCTCAGAAATTACAAGCTGTCGAACTTCCCACAAACTGCAACTCTTTTCCCGGCTGGCGTCGCTTTTGCGGGGATCGCCACGTCTGGATGATGGGTCCATAGGATATATGGGGCACTACCCCAACAATGTTCGTAGTAATCAAAGAATTGGTCCACCCTATGCAGAACGGTAAGACTTCAAACTCAGTTAGTCGAAAAATGGTGCATTTTTGGAGGCAAAAAATGATCGATTTCTCAAAATTTCCGATGATAATTTTTTTTAGCATTGTGGTCGCTCGAAGACTCAAGTGCCATAACAGCTTCAGCAGAATTCTTCATAACTACAGCATCTGAGCTCTCCAGCTCTCATCATACGCACAAATAGGCCACTTCTCGCGTCGACCTTCTCCCCTTCTGCGCATGCTGTTGGACCGCAGTGAGGTGCCGATCGGTGAGACAATTTCATGTTGTAGACAAAATTGCCTTTGCGATGAAGTTTGCAGCTTTGAAGAAGAATCACTCTGCTTCAAGTTACAGCAGTCCAAAAAATAATTTCGCAAGTGCCCGAGAACTTTACGAAAATTTTCTAATACTTGGGGCAACGCGCGCTGCTTTATGCCTTCGCAAAGAGACGTCCGCGGAAAGACATAAGAATGCTCGAATCGGAATGTCAAGGACATGCCGTTTACGGAAAGATTCGTCTTGATGAGCTAAACACATTGCTGCTTCCGGTGGATTCAGTATATTGATTCTCAAGGAAGTTAGGGCGAGTAGAACTTGGAAAAGCGTGATTTGAAAAAAAAAGTCTGCGGCTATTTTTTAGCGCACTGTAAATACACGAGAACAGTACAATCGAAGAGCACCTTACTGGTTTTTCTTACTTTGGATAGGCAAAAAAATGTATAGTACAGATTTCAGAATTACATAGGTAGATTTTCAGATTTCTGGAAGCACCAGTTCCTACGAAAGATTGAATTTAACACGAAATACGCTAACAAGTAAGCTAAATTCGGTATTTCTCAAAACTAACCGTTTTGGGAATGGAAATTTACCGGTGTATTTCAGAAGACCTGTAGTATACAATTGCTTAAGTGAAAACAGCGCAGCATCGCTTTTTTGGAGCTTGGAAACTTGAGTTTTCTCGGTTTCAGCACAAAAACAAACACAGCAACGGCACATATGAATGTCTTATGTGGAGCGTATAGAGCAAGTTCAGGATCTGATAAGTCTTCTTTGAACAAAGATATAAAAGGTTTTTGGGTTTTTAGGCATCCGAAAGTTCTCAGATTTCGGCATCTAATTCGTGATGTGGTGAAGCTGGTGCAATCAGAATCAAGAAGCGTGTGACTTATTGCGGTAAAATCCAAAATGGAAAAAACTTATGAGACAGCCTAATAAAATGGAAGTCGTACCTTAGGTGGGCATTAAGTGGGCAACTGTCCGCTCAGCTTAAAAGGAGCGCGAGCAAGAGCAGTTCACGCTACCTATTCACATAAGTTTTTCATAATTTTCCATATTTGTTTCTTTGATCAACTGCGCGTACGCACACCAAAATTTGTGCCATATCGTCAGCTGTGCGTTGCAAACGAGCCATTTTATCATTTTGTAGTGGTGTGAGATCTTCAAAAAAATTTGCCACAACCTTCAGTCACATATTTTCTCGCAATACTTTGCACTATGATCCTCCTAATCCATGTTTGTGCACTACACAGTTGATTACAACTCAATAAAAAAATTGGATTTTTGACACGCGAGTAAGACCGCGTTTTTGCATGTCAGTCGTGTAGCAACTTGTAGAGAGAGTGTATAGTCTGCTACATGACGAAGGCGCAATACCTTTGTGAGCGTACGCGGCTTTATTAGCCGCAGAGCGCACGAGACGTGGTAGTTACAACAGTGAGGACGCGCGCGCGTCGTTTGCGCCCGCTTAACTAATATTCTTCTGCGCCTTCCTTATGTAGTAGCCTTTATGTACATGTAAATGTATATTCACGATATATTAGGTTTTCCCGAAAGTTCCGTCGTTCCATTTTTGAATATTTGTAATTTTGCACTATCTGATCGGATTTGCATCCTTGTAATTCGTTTTTGAAAGAGTATCTTTTTCGCTTTCGAATACTTTCTTCACTAGCTTCTAATACACACTGACTGCAGAGATAAAATGGAAAAAGAAAACCATGTAAACTTTCATCTTTTTAGGTTAGTTCGCCAAAAGTCTGAAACGCTCCGGAAAAACCTGGAAACGTTAGTGCATAGGTTTTTTGATCTACTCTTTACGACAGTGAAAAGTTTTTGCTGTTTGAATGTGTTGAAAAGTTATAATTTTTGAGGAAAGTGAGAAATTAATTTTGGTATTTTCTGTAGTAAGGCTGAAACTCGTAACTTTTCACAGAGACGTCCAAACAGCACAAAATCTTCACTGTTGCAAAGAGTAGGTAACAAAACCTGTGCACTTAGGTTTTCAGATTTTTCGCAGCGTTTCAGACTTTTGGCGACCTAACTTAAAATGCCCAAAGTTTATATGGTCTTCATTCCATTTTTATCTCTGCAGTCAGTGTGTACTAGAAGCTAGGAAGGAAAGTAATCGAAAGCAAAAAATTTTCAAAAACAATTACAAGGATGCAAATCCGTTTAGATAGTGCAAAATTACAAATTTTCAAAAATGAAAAGACAGAGCTTTGGGACCACCTAATACATTGCTTTGCTTTCCATTCAGAACGAATTCCAATTGAAATTCGCAACTCGTGCCGGGCCCTGTTGATTACATAATTTTCAAGAATGTTCACCTAGTCTTCCTTGGGTTTGGTTCTGTGCAATTACCGAATTTGAGTTCCTCCAAACACTCATCGGGTAAGGCAAGTGCTGAAAACATACGCTGAAATGAAAAAAAACTATGTCAACCTACCCGACACAGCCCAAAGCAAAGCCACAAGCAAACCCTTCATCCGGAAAAACTGGATACGAGCGTTCATATGTAACTTCTAATCGGATTTTATAGCTTTGTGAGAGCTGCCGCTTTTGTGATACCGCCGAAATGGCTAATAAAACATGCATGTATTTATTATATGTGAGAAATAACCCAAATGTTCGATTATTTGGTACTGTTTGTTGCCTCGTAAAACAATGCGTTGGTAGAATTGTTCTTGAACGAAGCGCAATCAATTTTTATTTTTGTGAGAAGCAGCCGAATGTATAGCATGCCTAATTTGCAATTCCAAAGCTGCAGACATGTTAGAATATTGATTGTTCCTATTTTTTTTCATGTAAGCTGAAAGGGAGTCAAGATTTGCTCAAAATTTCTAATAAGTAGCTCGAGAACGTAGCGGGTAATAGGCAGTACCGTAAAAAAGCAATCTTTAAAAAATCTTGCAAAAATCTATGACTTTTTCAAGTTTTAAAGATTTTTGCACAAGCAAAAATCTTGCGAGCCGAACATGTATGCAGGGTGTCGCAAAAGTAAGTACCATTTTAAGCCGTTAATAACTCTCTTCCTTTAGAGTTTAGCTCAGAATTACCATTTAGAACAGGTTCCAACTTAGATTTAAGGTATGAGGCAAATTACTCGTCGCTCTTCATTACTGTAGAAATTTGATAAAGCTTTCAAAAAGGGTTTCAAGCCATTGGGGGCTCCCGGCTCGTCTCAGAAAGCAGACCAAATAACCGCAAAATTCTAACACCAGGCTCTCAGGCCGCTGACACCGCTATGGGGCTTTGCACTTTACAGCAATAATTCGTTTATAAGTTTAGCCAAGTAAATCGCAACAGCTGCTTCTACACTTCTACAATTCTCCTCAAAATTGTGAATGCACCTTTAAAAACTCTACAAACCTCTGAGACGTTGAGTAATGAATTCAGCGCGCATGAAACCCTGGTATTAGGTTGGAAAGAAAAGAATGTCGCTTTCTGATTCCTTGTCACGGCATCTCAACAAGATAAATCCCAAGAACGTATATGGGGAACCATTCGATAGAGCAAAGCAAGCCCTACAAGAAGACACTACATGTTTGTATTAAGTTTTATCCACCTGAAGTTAAGACCGAATAAAAAAGGTTAAGTGACTGAAAGTCAAAAAAATTCGTATCCCGATTCAAAGTTTTTACGGACCTTCAACTTGCTCACATGCAGGAATTCTTCGTCAGACTCGAAGAGTCGAAAATTTCCATGCTTTTGCCAGAGTGATGCTGGGAAGTTTACGCATAAGTAGGGTAAGCTGTTGAGGCTGGGATGTCCACGCATAAGTAGGTTTATGTTACTTGGCTTGGAAAGCATAACATTTTCAGCCTTCTACAATAGTTAGTACTTGAGAAATATTGTCAGCTCTCTGCTACTGTTTCTTGATTCATTTCGACATTTCTCAAAAACTAATCGTTGCGGGAGGTTTGCTCCTTGTAACGTCCCTGATCCAAGCACTGAAGCACTGCAGGCAGTTCAGTGAAATCTGTCGAACCTGCGTTTTTATGTGGGTCATGCGAGGCCCTAACTGAGCCCTAGGCTATGAGGCAGCCCATAGGATCAAATCGTTGCCAAGAAATCCCTTTTGAGAAACCCAAATTGCCGGTTTGCTAGCGCACTAAATTCGTTCTCAAAAGCTAAGTATGGTCTAAGGCCTAAGGCACACCTCATGCGATTTTAGTCGCTGCGCGATCTGGCACTGCAAAGACTCTTCATAATACTTTGCTTAGGCCAGACTTGTGTATTTGCTACGACTTGCGAAATCTACGCGCCCATGCATCTGAGACCCACGCATGGTTAATCCATAGACATCTGCTAAATCGTCAAATCGCGTTGATGTGGCGATTTCGCGGATTCGCGGGAAGTATGCATTGGGCTTAAGCTAGAGTTTGCAATTGTATTTGAGTTGCCACATCATATGAATGATCGTTTCATCGATGGCACAGCTGAGATTCCAGAAGTAGTTTTTTTATTGCATTTCAACCAAATCTGCCTGGACACTGCCTTCGCTCGAGGAATGATGCTGATACCATCCTTACCTTCCCACTTGCCATTCCGCTTGCATGGACACGCGCACAGCTTGCTTCTGCTTTTTTCCATACAGTAGTTATTCCGCGCTCATGCATATTCTGGGTTGAAGTTGCACTTCTTTTTTGATTTCGTGCTTCTAGCGTCACTTCCAAAGCCATTAACAGTAGCAGCATCCAAACAAAATGACGCATCATTCTTCCTAAAGCTGTTAAAAAGTTCTGGTATATATTTTCATATGAACAATGCAGACTAAAAGAGTTAGTGAGTGAGGTTTCGATATGACTTGCTCAAACTAAGCTGAATATTGTTGCTGATGAAAAATACACAAGTTTGTCACAGGTTATCCCTTCGGCATGATCAGTGGGTGGCACTTAATATCTCAGAATCAATGTGCTTATATAAAACCCGCAATTTTTACAGAGTGAGTGGGCGGAAAAAGTTTTAAGAAATTTTTTATCGCAAATAGATTGAAACTCTTCCAAGCGTCACAAAACTCTTCTGAACAACACAACCGCGTCAGTGCTTCTATTGACAGAGTGAAAGAATCTTAATAATTAAGTAATTGATAATTAAGTAACTTTCTGTTGCTTGGCATTTTGGACTATATAGGGATCAAATACAAGTTAACTCTGTCAACGTAAGCAGAGGAAGTGTTGAAGTGCAAGACATTATAGAGGAAAGCGATTCCGCTTAGAAACTCATACACTACATCGACTGAAGCTCTTAGTTTCATACTGCTGCTAAATCAAGATGCTCTCTCAAAACTAATGTCTTTTGCCGATGTTTGAATAACTGAAAGCTATCACAGCTTTCTATCAGCATTAAGATGATGTCACGTGTTAATGTTACATGCTTTCCAATTACTAACGGTAAGATACAAAATAATGTCTGATGCTTGTTGCTGACTAAGACTCGAATGTCGAGGAACGCTTCGTAATTTAGTAGCGTCATCTGACAAAAAGGCACTAAATTGCCAAAATACACTATCTTCTGATTCTTCACATAGAACTGAATAAAACATCCTCTCTGTATGTTTAGCTCTTAATTAATGTACTCGGCAAGCCCTGCTGTGTGTTGCTACAATACAACAAATGAATGTCAAATCATCACACACTAACAGTGTACATTGTATATTTTCTGTCGTTTCAGGATATCTTTCTATATCTAGTATAGGACATTTAAAAAATCGTGACGATGGCGCGACCGCTCGCGACACGCACGCCACTTCCGGAAATCGCGTTTTCTTGGTTTTCATCTCTATTCAGGTGGTTTTTTGCTTACATATGATATTACTTAAGCCTTGGAAGTGGCTGAGCCGGACGTTGAGATGCTGCCTTCTTGCATAAGCGTTTTATGCTTCCGTAGGCGCAAAGACCGCAGTAAAATCCGTCGTTACGATTTTATAAATGAATTATAATTTGTGTGTCTCTGTGGGTTTTGATAAGTTTGACGTATTTTCTCATATCATACTCAAATAAAAAGTTTATTCAGTTCTCCCGTCCAGATTACAGCATAAAAGAATGATGCTCGAAAATTTTGTGCTGATGATGATGATAGAATAATTGATAGAATGAGGATGGTAAGTCTGCGGGTTATTAAATCCCTCCAGCTACCGTTTCTCTTGCTTCCTTTCTGGTAACTTAAACCTTGCCTTTCGAATGTTCCCTAGATAGCGCTGAATGTGACCATCTTTATCTTGAAATGAAAAATGATCAGATGATACACAATTATAATGGGTAATAATTTCATGTAAGATTTGCGTTAGGGGACGAGTTTTTGCATCATCACTTCAAGTAAAGGCTATCAGGTTGCACTAGCAAATTGTGAAGGCATGTGATTCTTCAAAAACGTCTCAAGTCATTGTGCTATCATACTGAATCCCTAAAGAAAATGGTGTGATTAAAATGACATTATAAACTATGCGTCCAACGGGAGGTCCGCAATGCTATTACACTATACAATGCGCGGGCTGGATTCCTATATACTAGGTCGTGTCAAAAGTTCTGTCATTTCTTTTTTTTGTAAATTCGTAGCTTTGCTCTCTCAGCGGATTTGCATCCTTGCAAATTTTAGAAAGAACAGTTTCTTTCCTTTTGAATGCTACCTTGGTGAGCTTTTTTCACACACTGATCAGAGATAAGAAATGAAAAATTGAAAAGAAAGCCATATAGGCTTCGATCATTTTGAGTTAGATCGCCAAAAATCTGGAGTGCAGCAGAAAAATCTGGAATTGTCTACTCATAAATTTATCGACCTACTTTTTGCAACTGTGAAGACATACTCCTTGCAATTGTGCTGTTTGGACGTGTTTGTAGAAAGTTATGATTTTTGAGAAAAGTGACAAATTAATCAACCTTGAAGTAGTTCTCTATATTACCCCAAATGCGTACTTCTCACAGATTTTACAGTACAAAGAGTAGGTCAACTTGTACTGACGGTACCAGATTTTTCTGAGCGTTTCATATTTTTGGCGACTCATAAAAAAATAATCAAAGCTTGTATGGTCTTCTTTTTCATTTTTATCTCTGATCAGTGTGTAAATATAGCTCATCAAGGTAGCATTCGAAAAGAAAGGAAACGTCTCTCCTTAAACTATCACAAGGATGCAAATCTTGAGAAAGAGCAAACTTACGGATCTGCAAATATGAACTTTGAACAGCACTTTTGGCGCGACCTAGTATAATTAGGAAGCCGAATCGAACTTTAGGGATCTTTTCTAATCTTCGTATGGTAGGTCGATCGTTGTGCATTGATTACTCTGAGCGACCTACCGTGAGCAAGAAGAATCTGGTGGGACCTGTAAAATTTAACTGTTTATCGTGCTCAAACAGCAATTCTGTATATCAAAATATGCATCGTCAAGCTGTGTTGGATACAATGCGAAGTCGGAGAGTTCCGGCAGAATGTGTGATTTTCCTTCACAGATTACGAGCGGTATGTATCAGTGGCGTACCCAGGATTT